AAGCTAAAGCTAAGCTAAAGCTAAGCTAAAGCTAAGCTAAAGCGAAGCTAAAGCTAAGCTAAAGTTCAGCTAAAGCTAAGCTAAAGCTAAAGCTAAGCTAAAGCTAAGCTAAAGCTAAAGCTAAAGCTAAAGCTAAAGCTAAAGCTAAAGCTCCCAGGGGACTGGGGGAACCGCGGGGCGGGGACTGGGGGAACCGCCCGGGGCGCTTTCCACTGCCCGGCCCCTTTAAGCTAGAGAGTAAGAACCCTTCTAGGCAGAGCCTAGGTAGGGAAAAATAGCCTGGCGAAGGACCCAACCAAATGAAGTTGTGAATGTCCTCTTTGCATGTACCGCATTCGGAGGAGCTCCGCATGGGGTCACGCAACGCGCGAGTGGTGCGCGGTGGGCGCATGCAAAAGCGGCCATGTGGGCGCATGCGAACGCAGCCACTGGGGCCGTCGGCGGAGCCCCCTATGGACACACGAAACGTGTGAGGGTTGTGCCAAACAATGTGTCCGTGGGCGCATGCAGATGCATGCCACAGGGGCCGTCGGTGGAACTCCCTACGGGGCCAAGAAACGTGCGAGAGGAATGGTTTTCACATGTGTTTGAAGAGCTCAATCTGGAAATGCCTAGGACATCCATATTGTTGCATGAGTGTTACTTGTGTTCTCGCGGGCGCGGGCGTGGCCCGCATGCTTGCATGTCATGGGGATTCCCCACAAGCCAGAAACATCCACCGTCACCACGTCTGCACGGAGTGGGCGTGTTAAAATGCGTGCCTGCTGTTCGGGTTGTTTGTTAGTTCTCCAGGGCCGCCCCCCCAGCTCGACGCACGCGCCCAAAAAAATTATCCAGGAGAAGGACCCAAGCATATGCAGTTGTGAGTATCGCCGTTGTATGTATCGCCTCCGGTGGATCTCCTTATGGGGCCACGAAGCGTGTAAAAGGGAGTGCCGAAATGGGGAGGGGACGCATGCGGGCACAGTCATTAAAACCATCGGTGCCGCTCCATATGGGGCCATGAAATGTGTGAGGGGTGTGCCGAAATGGAGCGGGGCCGCCATGCGAACGTCCCCACTGGGGCCTTCGGCGGAGCTCCCGATGGGGCCACGAAACGCGCGAGGGGTATGCCGAAGTAAGCAGGGGAGGCGCATGCGAACGTCGCCACTGGGGCCTTCGGTGGAGCTCCGTATGGGGCCACGAAACGCGTGAGGAGTGTGCCGAAATTGGCGGGGGGAAACGCATGTGATCACCGCCACTAGGGCCTTCGGTGGAGCCCCCTATGGAGCCAGGGAGCGCTGCACTGTGTGGCGCGGGCGCATGTGATCACAACCACTGGGGCCTTCGGTGGAGCTCCCTATGGGGCCACGAAGCGCCGTGTTGGGTGGCGCGGGACGCATGTGGTCACAGCCACTGGGGCCTTCACTGGGGACCGCCCTGGGGCCACGACACGCCGTACTGGGTGGCGCGGGACGCATGTGGTCACGGCCACCGAAGCCCTTGCTGAAGCTCCGTGGCGCGCGACGCATGTGGTCACAGCCACCAGGGCCTTCGGTGGAGCTCCCTATGGGGTCACGAAGCGCTGTACTAGTTGGCGGGGAACGCATATTGTCACAGCCACTGGGGCATTCGGTGGAGCCCCCCATGGGGCCACGAAACGCCGTACTGGGTGGCGCTGGACGCATGTGGTCACAGCCACTGGGGCCTTCGGTGGAGCTCCGTTTGGGGCCACACAGGTGAAGCTCATTATGGGGCCACGAAACGCCGTACTTGGTGACGCGGGGCGCATGTGGTCACAGCCACTGGTGCCTTCGGTGGAGCTCCCCATGGGGCCACGAAACGCCGTACTGGGTGGCGCTGGACGCATGTGGTCACAGCCACCAGGGCCTTCGCTGGGGCCTGCCCTGGGGCCACGACACGCCGTACTGCGTGGCGCGTGTGGTCACCGCCACGGCCTTCGGTGGAGCTCCCTTTGGGGCCACGAAGCGCCGTACTGCGTAGCGTGGGGTGCATGTGGTCACAGCCACCAGGGCCTTCGGTGGAGCTCCCCATGGGACCACAAAGCGCCGTACTGGTTGACGCGGGACGCATGAGGTCACAACCACTGGGGCCTTCGGTGGAACTCCCCCTGGGGCTCCGATACGCCGTACTGTACGTCGCGGGACGCATGTGGTCACAGCCACCGAAGCCCTCGCTGGAGCTCCCTGTGAGGCTACGAAACGCTCTACTGAGCGCGCTGAAAGAATGCACATGCGGAGGGCAGAGGCAGGGATGGAAGGAGGGAGGAGGAGCAGGGGAAGGAGGGGTAGGAGGAGGAGGAGGAGGAGGAGGAGGAGGAGGAGGAGGAACGCGGGGCGCCTTTCAAAACGAGGCCCCAACACCATAGGATGGCTGGGAAACAAAAACCGTCTTTGAACTGCTGCCTGGCGGTCTTTTCGGCCCCTCAACGGTCAAGACAGCTTCCAAGAGCGCTTCCAAGACAGGCGTTCGAGACGAAACCAAAGCGTCTCAAGATGGCCCAAGATAGCTCATGAGCTAGTCAAGACAACCCCGAGACTGCCCAAGAGGCCCTCAAGACGGCCCAGGAGGGCTCCAAGAGGTCTCCAGGACGTCCCAGGAAGCTCCTGGGGGTCTTCCTCGACAGCCCGAGGGGTCCAAAACCACTGAGTGTCCCTAGATGTTTGAAGGATTTCGAGGTTCTCGCCTGTTCGGGTGTCCGACCGCCCAAGGCAGCCCAAACAATTGCTCTGGGCCGTTTAATTGCTCCTGTGGAGCCTTTCAAGGCCGTACTGGGGCCCTGTTGGGAGCCCCTTTGGCGATGTGTGGGTCCTCTTGAGCCGTCTTGGGGTCCTCTTGGGAGCCCGTTGGCCTGTTTTGGAGCTAACTAACGTGGAGGCCTCTTGAAGGCGTCTTGGGTTCCGACCGCCCAAGACAGCCCAAACAACAAGTGCTCTGAGCTGTCTTGGGGTGTCGGAACCCAAACATGCCAGAACCTTAGATTCCTTCAAACACATACGGGAAATCAATAGTACTGGCTCTCCCGGAGGGCCTCTTGGAGACCTATTGGGCGGTCTTGGGGCCGATTGATCTGTACTCGGGCCATCATGGGAGCCTCAGGGCCTCCACAACAGCTTCCACGACAGCCAAGAGGACAATAAGGCAGCTTTAGATGACCCAAGACAGTTCAGGAGCCTCTCAAGACAGCCTCCAGACAGCCGAAGAGGCCCCCAAAACGACCCAAGAGGGCTCCAAGAGGCAATCTTGGAGAGCCAAAGGAGGCCAGAACCGATGATGTGCCTTAGATTGCTGAGCGATGCTGAGGTTCTCGCCTGTTCGGGTTCCCGACCGCCCAAAGACGGCCTAAGAATCTTCCGAGAGGCCTCAAGATGGTTCCAAGACAGCCCAAGAAGCTCCCCAAGAGGGCCCCAAGTCGGCACAAAAGAACCCAAAGATCGCCCATGGGGCTCCCAAGAAGGCACCATGACGGCCCAGAGAGGCTCCACGACAGCCTCCGAAGGCGTCAAACGGGCCAAGAGGCCTCCAAGACGGCCCAAGAAGTCCAGAGAGGCCCCCAAGAGACGCCAGGAGGCCCACAAGAGTCCCCCAAGAGGCTCTCAGGAGGCCCCCAGGAGGCCCCAGGAGAGCTCCAAGGAGGCTTCTCTTCCTCGTCATCACTTCTTCTTCTTCCTCCTCCTCGTCCTCCTCCTCCTCCTCCTCCACCTCCTCCTGCTCCTGGTGGCTGGTGTCTGGGGGCGAAAAGATCCCTCGGACGCCCTCCCGCCCCTGAGGGCGGAATTGCGCTGTCCCTACACTCAACCTCCTTCCTGCTGCGCTGTTGCACAGGCAGGGTGGTGGGGTTTGCCGCAGACAGCTTAATACATGTTACACTAAGACGTACACTGGCGTCGAACCAAATGCCAGTATCTCACAAGTAGGCTGGGCAAGGGGTCAATAAATCATACGACACACCTACGAGATGCCCTGGCTAATCTCGTCCCAATGATGTTCGCGTTCTCGCCATTTCGGGTTTCTGTCAGCCCAAGAAGGCCCCAAGACGGTTCAAGGAGGCCCCGAGACTGCCCAATGGCCTCCCAGGACGACCCCTCAGGATCCCAATAGGGCCCCTAGAAGGCCGAGAGAGCCCCCAAGACGAGCTCTGAAGGCGCCAGACTGCCCTAGAGAGCCCGAAGACGGCCAACAAAAACACCAAGAGGCCCTGAGAGGTCCCCAAGACGCCACTAAGAAGCCTCCAAGAGGCCCCAAAAAGCCCCTGAGAGGTCCCGAAAGAGGAAGAGGGGAAGAATAGGAAAGGAGGAAGACGACTTGTTTTTGTAGCTCCGGGTTGCGACACCCATTCCGCATTCCGATGCGTTGTTACGAGGAAGACGACGAACACGAAGAGAGACATCCCGACAGGACGCGGAAGAGCGTATCACATTACACTGCTCCCCCGATCCTCGGGACACGAGGTGTCACACATTACGGCTACCTGTGCGCTCCTCGAACAGTCCCCACCCAGATTACTGTGCTGGCACGGTGGCGGGACTTGCCGCAGGCAGCAGGAGGGTGTGATGGTCTGGTGTCAAGGCCCACCCAGAAGGTTGAACATTTTCCACCCGAAATAATCTGATTCATGCTGCGTGCTCTCACATGCCAGAACCCCCGCAAAAGCTGTGCCCTGCCAGTTCCGAGGCACCATGATGACAAAATGGTCGAATGGCGTCCAGCCGCGTCAACGGGAATGCCGAGAGCAAATAGGACAGAAAAGCAGCCGTGATGCTCTCCGTAATATTCTGCCTTGCTGCGCGACTCCTGACTCCCTGCAATCGCGCATGCTGTGCCTGCTCCTAGACCAGCTCTTCGTGCTGCGATGTTCAACGAACATCGCCCGAAAGGGTGCACCATCGGCTCTCACAGGCACACGGGCGCACAAGAGGAAGGAGCAGCAGCAGCACGGCCGCAGATGAGCTGCAGCAGCAGGGCGCACGACCAGCCCGCCACGGAGCCCCGGAGCCTGCCTGCTCGACCGCCCTTGCCAGAACATCGCGGAATAGGGCCTCGCCCTGCAGCAGCTTCTCCATTCCACCTGCCGTGCAATGGCGCACTCGGAACTGGTCTGCCCTGCCAGCAGCAGCAGCAGCAGTGGGCATGAGGTGCGAGGAGACTGCGCGCGCCGCCAAGGTAACAGGTAGCGGGTAGAGGAAGGGGGGGGGGAAGGATGACGAGCTGTACGGCAGCTTCATGTCGTAACGATTTGCGCGTGAGTTTATGACACCGCGTAGATGTTTCAACCTTGAACGATCGCTGCTCACCGATGGCGCAGCTCCGGGCCTCCTGCGGCGGCCGACTCTGGGCCTCCAGCGGCGTTCAACTTTGAACGCCCGCGCTGAGGTCGCCGCCGCGACGGAACGATACGAACCTACTGCAGGGAAGGGGAGAGAAGGGGAGGGAAGGGGAAGGAGGGATGCAGGGGAAGGTGGACAGGGGGGAGCAGGAAGGGGGAGGGGAAGGGGAACGATGGCGAAACGTGGGTTGCTGTGGGCGTTCGGAGGGGGACGGCGCCTATCTCGGTGAGGACGGTGGCCAGCCCGAAGGCGGTGGCGTAGTTGACCTGGCGCTCTCTGACGGCCCACGGGATCTGGCGGCCCCTCCCTCACCGCGCGGAATTCGTCCCCAAAACATTGCGCCATCTGTGTGTCATTGCCTCTGCGCTTGCTCTACATCAGCGACACCTCGCGGCGTGACACCGCCCAACCCCCCCGACGCGTGAGGGACGAAGGGCCAGCAACCTCCAGGCATCGCGGACTTCCAGATGTGCTGACTCCCTGGCTCCGCGCAGCAAGGTTATGAAGTGTTGCATTTTGAATTTCACAGAGAAAAGGGCGCAGACAGCACCACGACATAACACCTCCGTGAGGCGATCTTGTGTGCCCGTCTGCAAGAACTAATCTAAAGATGGTGGCCAGGCAACCACCGCGTCCGTGGAGTCATGACGAGACCCAAACAGCAGGCTAAAGGAATAACAGGAAGAGAGGACGGAGGAAGAACGCAATAGAGCCAAAACTCGTGAGCGCGAAGGCTGGCAGATAGCGTCGCGCGCACCACGGTCCCTCACGAGTGATTCCCAAAGGCGCATCAGAGCGGCGGGGGGGAGACAGAGGACAAGGAGGACCGAGCGAACCCTACCAAGGCACAGTGCAGCGATGATGGCAAATAATGGACATGAAAAGTTGGACTGTGTGGCACCGACGCGCGACGCACGGACGTGCCCATTGCGGCGGGAGGGCACAAGCCCAGCCTCGGGGCTGGGAGCGGCCGCCACCGGCCGTGGGGGTCCGACAAATGCATTCGACGATCCCCAGAACACCAATTCATAAAAAAAAAAATCGGCTGGGAGAAAACTGAAAAAGAGAGGAACGGACGGGGAACAGACGGGGAAGAGGAGGGCGAGGCGGCAGGACAGCTGCACAACACGATGGCGTCTCCATCCAGCTTGGGCGGGCCCCCCAGCTGACAGGGGCTCGCAGCCTGAGCGTTCCATCTACAGCGAACGGCCCCCGAAGTAGTTTGAACCTGGTCGGGAGGCCCAACCAGATGCTTCGCCAAAGGCGAAGCCCATGTCCGACCCTGTTATACTGTAGTAACGAACGTCCCAAGAGCAGGAGAGAGTCGCGAGAGCGACGAGCCATGTCAAGCGAAAAGGTTGTCGGTCCCATTGGCAAATAATGTGCCTCGCAATGACGCGCAGTCGTATCTTGGCGGCCGGCCGCTTGAGCACAAACGGCCGTGGACAAACGCTAGCTGCCTCTCGCCTTTGCCCAACCGCCTTTAGTCGGGGGGAGGAGACGAAGCATGAGTCCGCCGCCAGCTATACACAAGTTAGGCAGCAGCAGGCGGGCTCAACAAAGGCAGGTTGGCCCGTGTGCAAGCTACCTTGCTGGCAAGTTACCTCGCATATAACTACTCCTCAAGTGGTTCGAATGGTCTCGTCTGGCCAGCCCTGTAGGGTGTGTCCTTTGGGTCATGCTTGGAGGATTTCGTTTCTCCTGTGACTTGTAGGAGCATGTTTCTGTCGATGCCTCCCTCGGCGTGGCCATCCGCAGACATATCGCGAGTGCTACACCACTGCACACAACGCACGATACCTCGCTCCATCACTTGTCGCATCCAACTGGTGTGTCCCAAAAGTGTACAGTCAGTCGGCGTCTTCAGGTCTTCGCTTGACAAGAGATTAGTCCACTGCCCTGCGTTTCCTTTTCTCCCTTTCTCCCCTTTGTGACAGACAGTTGCGCCGCAGCCCTTCGGGCTTCAGGGGCGCGCTCGCGCCCGTGGACTGTTGGATCAGCCGCGCTTTCGGAGAGCGCTCGAGAAAAGACAACACGTGCACATGCGATTGTTGTGAGTCCCCATGCCTGCTGACAGACGCGCGCATGCTGGCGAGCACGTCGTCCATCTTGTCGACGCGCACTCCACGTCTCATCGATTGCAGGTCCGCTCGAGCGACTCAGCGGAAACAGTTGCAGCATCCCATATTTTTGGGGAAAGAGCGGGTGAACCTAGCGCGGAGCCGCCCACCGCCTGCTTGCCACGCAGGCGTCTCGATGGGCCTGGCCAGCCAGGGATAAGGTCGGCGACCGCCACCGCATTTCTCGGCAGCATCACGTCCGCGATCGGCAGGGGCATGCCATCGGCGCACTGCGTGGCCGCACGGTACCCGCGCTTCAACACGTCCGCGACCTCATGTTTCAGAAGGTAGTCCCAGAAGCGGTACAAATTCCGCTCGAGCCAGGCTGGCCTCGTTCCGTCGTCGGGCAGAGGATTCGTCTTGACGATGTCAATCCACGCCCGACGCCACCGCCTCACGGTACTCGTCGAGATCGGGCGAAGCAGTGAGAGGGTGGATCAGCAACCGCTCGTGGTCGACGTTGTCGCCGCGATACTGCATCCCGATCGCCTGGCCGGGGACCAGCCTATTCCACCACTCCCCGCCCGCGTCGAACATCAGCAGGGAAACTTGGCGGGCGATCACTCGCAGCGCGCTTGGCGCGCAACCTTCGTCCGCGCTCGACCGCGCCCAGCCCGCAGCCTGCCAGAACCCGCCGGCCAGCAGGTGCGAGGCCACCTGCAGCGCCCAGTCTTGCCCCGAGGGCGAAGAGCAGTCTGGGCAAGCGGGGCACGCGGGGCAGGCGGGCGCCTCCGGGTATAGGGCGACCGAATCTATACATATCCACTGCTCCCTGGCCAGGCACACCGTGAACCCAGCAGCAGTGTATACGCCACACCCTCCTGGCTGGGCCAGGAGGGCGTATACACAGCTCCTGGGTTCAGAGTGGGCCTGGCCAGGGAGCAGTGGATATGTATAGATTTCGTCGCCCGAGGGTAGTCGATCGGGGCACCCCCAGGCCTGAGGCACCGGACAGACCGCCGCGGGGACCGCTGGCAGCTCGGAGCGCCTGGCGCTGGGCAGGGCGGCGTCGAGCAGGCCCCGCCCGTACAGGCCGCCCGCAGCCGCCGCAGGGGTCCACAGCGCCGCCATTGGGGCCGCCCGCGGGGCAGGGGAGCGCGGCCTGCACTCGCTCTCCGAGCAGCTGACTTGAGACGCAGAAGTGCTTGCGGATGATCCCTTCTGAAGTCGCGTCGTTCCACATAGACCCCTCAGAGAGCTCCTTGCACGCACACCACTAATACACGGACCGTGTATCCAGCCTGGCGTTCACGTAGGGTTTCATACAATGATCTCGGGCACTCTAGTCGACAAGCTATCACAAGGACGTCAGTCGCTCGATCAGATCGAACCCGATCATACAGATCCATACGCATGCAGCGACAGCGACAACCTCGGGTAATCAACAATAATATGAAAAACGCACGCACGTGCCGTTCTCTTACCAATGAAAGCAGGCGCTCTGTCATAACCCAGGAGACCTCAGAATCGAGTCGATAAGTCGGATCGGCGATCGAAGTGAATCAGGTCGGCGGAAATCGGTAACCAAGTCGGGAGAAGTCGAGTCGGCAGGCGAATAAGGCCTCCACTATAAGAATTCGGAATCCAAATCGGAATCCGAAGTCGAATCAAATCGGAATCGAAATCCACAAGAATCGAATCGAGTCGAATTGGAGGAATCGAAATGAGCCCCCCTGCAAAGTGGGAGGGGGCACGCTGACCCCGAGAAGTCCCCGCGAATGACCTGCGCCCGGGCGCGCCCGCGGCGCAGAGGCAGGGCTTCTGCAGCAGCCCCAAACCAGCAGCCTAATCGAAAGAACGCGTACCGGTGGGCGCTCGGTACGCTTCACGAGCTGGCAGTGGCTTGGCAGCGCGGCGAGGGCCTCAACTCCCCTCCAGTCGGTGGCGACATCCCGACTCTGCCCCCACCAAGCATCGATTCTCCTGAATCGATGAGAGGCGGGGGCAGGGCTCGGATTTCGCAACGAGTGCGACGAATTCCGAACCCGACCCCCGCCAATCGAGTTGCATGAATCGTTGATAGGCGAGGCTAGGGTTCGGATTTCGCCTCCGATCCAGCGACACCAGGGCGGCAACGACGTCATGGGTGCGGTGGCTATCTATGGATGCACCTCCACTTGGCGGAGCGAATTTGTCTTCTGGTCTGCTCGCGGGGCCTTGCCCGCCTTCTCCTGCGCGTCGAACGCGCCCTGGAACACTGTCTCGGCCTCCTCGTAGCGGCCTTGGCTCCCGGGCAAAGGCAACCCGCAGAGCCGCCGTTGCAGCCCTTGGCCTGTACTGGTGCACAAAGGCATTTCGCATCGATGCTGTAAAGACTGGAGACGCAAATCCGACAGTCGGAAATATCTCGGTGGTCATAGCCACCGACCATGAAGGTTGACAATATAACCCAAACAACGTTCATGTCAGCCTGATAGAACGGTGTCCTGGTTGTCGAAAGGACTTCCTTGGCCTGCAATTCTTTCCAAAGACGAGAAGGGCCTAGGGGAGCGGAACCGAATGCAGACGTTTGTGTCTTGTTCATGATCGCACTCCTTTCGCTGGCCAACATTATTCGAACGAGTGTAAAATTTCTCTCACCGAGTGCGCTCCACTACTCGCAAAGTTTGCTTCGATATAAAGAATCGAATATCTCCCGCGGCGGATTCAGGCCATTTGCGAGTAGTTGCTTTGCGAGTAATGGAACGCGCCTCCATATTCTGCTAACACAAGTTACATAATTGAGGGCAGATGCCTGCCAAAAATAATTCCAGCGCCGTTTAGACCAAAATCAATACGGCGCCCCCATCGCCCGACCTCCAACCTTACTCCTGCAACCGCTCGCCACAAAAATCTCCGGCGCCACTTAGCAACTCTTCCGTGACTGTTGAGTGGCGGTATAGTATAGACACCGTGGCAACCTCAAAACTGTCGCGCACCGCCTCGCACTTGCATCTGCTCCTGTTAATTAGGCTCGCAACGCCTCGCATCGCCTCGCACATACCCAACATGGAGCATATGCTCAGCATGCCCACTTGCCAGCCTAGCAAACTTATCGCAATGCATCAGTTACTCAGGATCAGCCACCTCTGTGGAAACAGGAGTTAGACTGCAAGGCCCACCACAACACTTTGTAGTGGTCGGCGTCGTCGGTCCAGTTTGAGCTTACTTCCGAACCTTCTCACGAAAAAATCGATGCCCATATGGAACACCAGATGACTGAAAGCAGCACGCCATATCCAATCCCATATCATTTTCGAGCTTTCACCCCAGGCCGTGGCACTTCGACTCTTCCCACCCCCTGAAGCTCCAGTGCTCCCCTGAGGGCACGTCCCAGACGCCAAAAGAAGCTCCTCGGAGCAATTTACAAGACATCCGAGATCCATACCCATTCTAAAGACTTCGGCATGGCTCCAAATCCAGACGTCACAGGACTGCCGCAAATCGGTCCAGGACGGCCCCGAGACGGCCCCACAGAGCATCAAGATGACTGAAGGAGACGCCGAGACGATTCGAAAATGATCCAAGTCAGCGAAAAGATTGCCCCCGAACACATTCAAGACTCTCACCACCGGCGAGGGGCCAGTCCATCTATTTCGACGACGCCCAAACGCCAACAAGCTTCCCTGGGACCCCACCGGCCCTTTTCGAGATGGCCCCAAACGAAGACAATCAAAGCTCCAAATATGCCAACTTGTTCGAACCCGACAACATAACACAAACACGTCCCCAGCTGCTACGAGGCGATCCAGACGGAGACGTGGCACGCCAAGACATCCGCCGGCCACCCTTGCGTCCAGGATTCTGCAGAGTGGAAGACCTGGTATTCTGGAAGAGGCTCTGCAGGGCACGTTTTGAGGAATTGCACGACGCCACCACGAGCGCATCCGCACACTGAATCTCAGCATGCGCTACTTCGCTCAGGAATTCTGAACACCAAGATCACAGCAAAAGCAGACACATGCCACACTCTCCCCCGACTGCTACGATGTGGCCTAGACTCGAGAGGAGCAAAACAACACCTCCCACCTCCCTGCACTCTGGGATCACGGGGGACACAAATCCAACTCTTGCTGAGACGACCCCACACACCCTCCAAGCGGAAGCACAGACGATCAGATCGACCAACGCTGCTGCATAACAAGACTCTCCACTGGGAGAACCTCCGAAACAACAAAAAAATCAGGAAGGTGTCCGCTATTACTGAAACGACCCCCCTACCCCCGAGAAGCCCAACATGTCCCGACCACCAGCTGGCAACCCACGGGACTCAACAGAGGCCCAGAGAGGCCCCACTGAAAACACCGCGCAAAGGATCCCAAGAACCCACGATGCTCGCCGTGATCATTGCTCATTCCAGGATAGCGTGCGCTCATTCCTTCCGACCCTGCATCCCCACGCGCGGCGGCACATACGCGCGGCAGCGCAGTCGGGTGAAAGGACAGGCAACTCGATCGGCCAGCACCGCCGAACTAGCCTCGGGCGCCCTGGCGCGGCTGTGTGGGCCGCGACGACGACTCTAAGTGTACTGCGCAGACCATTGGAAAGGAGGGACGTCTCGGGCCACAGCAGGAAAGAGGGAAAGCAACAGCGCGGAGAGGAGGAAATATGGCAAAGGAGGCAGCGTAGGGGGATACAAGGGATGGACCGACGGCTCCAGAGGGCGCCTGCTCAATTGCCAAGAAGGGCCGCTGAGGCCAGGGCACTCCTCGGTCAGGAGCACCCCCAAGTAGTGCATCACCCGATCGTCCTGGCGCTTCTGTCTCGGGCCCGGGCCAGGGCTGGCAGAACAAAGTCAACTGTGAGGCTGCACCGAACCTGGCCAGGCCCTTCCTTGGCCCTGGATCGGTGCACCCTCCTTGATAGGCCGGGTAAGCCATGCAAACCGATCCTGGACCTGGCTTTGTATCCGACTTCGCAACAATACACAGTCGCTGCGAGAGATACGAAGGACGTACTCGGAAGCTCAGATGAGCGGCATCAGCCAGAACTCAAATGCAAACGGAGTCGATGATTACAGGAGGTGGAAAAAGCTCGACGCCAGTGCGTTCGGCGGACGGCGGCTGACGCACCCTCAGGTCGGGAGAACGAGAGGCCGGAGGCGGATGATAAGAGCGGAAAAGCCCGAAGCCCGAAAGCGAGCCAGATATGGGGCGCTGGGTGTGTTCGAGCTGTGAGGGCGCACGGCAATTGAGGGGGGGCGCGAGGCTAGGGAGGGCTCACAACAAGCCGAGTACATGTTGGCGATTCGCATATGAGGTCCTCTTCTCGTCGTCGTCGTCGTCGTCGTCGTCGTCGTCGTCGTCGTCGTTGTCATCGGCAAGGCATCCTGCCCTCTGAAGCCTCGTCAGAAGACACCTCGAGCCCTCCTGAGAGGCCCCCCCACAGCCTTCTGATAATGACACCATAGATCAACTTGGACTGCGTGCCAGTGGACGTAGAACTCCAGGTAGAATGAATGAAACCATCAAAACCATGAAAGCTGGAACGTCAGAACCTTCTTATCTCTCCTGTGCGCGCCGCCCCTCGCCGCCGCCCAGTCCTCGGGAGTGGCCTTCAGCATCGCTCTGAGGGCCGCCTGCGGGGGTGGAGGAGGAGGGGGAGAGAAGAGGAAGGAGGACGGGGGCAGGAGGAAAAGGAGGAGGAGAGGGAGGAGGAAAGCGAGGAGGATTGTCGCTCCACGGACGACAGCGACGAAGTCGGGATGTGGGACGAAACCCCTTTCCCTTCAACGGTTACACATATACTCCTGTCGATACGCAGTGCCCAACACTGAGCTGCACAGCACTAGTAGATATGGGTAGGGTATGGGACAAAGAGAAAGATGGTAAGAGTGATGAGCAAGGAGTATTTGGTTTGGGTGTTGAACCAACACGGACACGACCATTGCTCGTGATCTTCAAGCTCAGGGACTTTAGGTGTCATCAGTGACACAACATGTCGGCATCTCGAAACGCGAAGCACAGTGCCCAGACAAACACTGAGCTTGATCGGTTTTGAATGCGCCGACGCACTCCTCCAAGCGAAAGCAGGGTCGCACCATCTTGGAGGGATGCAACAAAAAAACGAACGCATTCGGCTGCTGCCGTCTTGTCTGAAATGTCAGCGGTCACACGCGGCCAAGCAAAAACGACCAGCCATGCGGGTGCCCGCCTTGTCCAGCCTGTCGTGCTTCCATCACTCGGCATGGGACGGCCGAGCATCACTGGCCTCGGCACCACCCTCCTGATGCTGAAATTGTCTCTGGGATTCGGTCATGGAACGACTTTTCTTCCGAGGGTCCTCCCGCCGGCCCTCGGGGGCCTTGGCTTCCCCGGAAAAACGCAAACACCCGGAACGGAGCATCTCGTGAGCCGCGTTGGTTTCGTCAAGCCGGACATCGTCATCCAGTCGATTGGGAGCAGCGGGTGAAGCATCCATCTGATCACACCGCCGACCCTCTGCACGATGTCTCGAACGACAGCGAGATCGGTCGCAGCCTTCCGATTCGAACGAAACCGATTAAACAGCTTGCTGAGAGTATCATATATGCTTCTGGCGCCCAGGATGTTGAGACTCTCCATGGGCGAGTGAGAGATGTGGATGTAGGGTAACGACCGAAGAGCCGAACCTACTGAGGTGTCCGTAGGTAGAGGAAGGTTCGGGCGAGGGTAGCGACCCCTTTTTGCCATGCGCCGCGGGCAAACGGCGCTAGCCCTGCCATACACGACTGCTCCAATACCTGAGCCGAGACGGAAGCAGGAAAGATGGATAGCATGGTGGTGTGAACGGACTTCACACACAAGAGATGAATTGGCAGTCTCCCTTGAAGAGGACCGCCAAAAGGGCCGACTTTGTTTTGCCACGTTTCCAAAACGACGTTGCCTCTCACCACGTCCTCAAACATGAGATGGAGCCACTGAGCCCCGGCGAAGGCTCCAGAGAGAGCGAGGGTTTCCCCGGCAAGAGTGCTGGCCACTTGGCGCTTGACTGGACATGATCGCCAGGCTAGGGGAGTGATTCTCGCTCGTTGTCCGTGCGTTAGAGCGTTGTTAGCTAGGTGCACTTGCCAGGCCTGCTGCGGAAGGAAACGGTTGTTCTTAGCCAGCGCCGCCGCAGTCGCTGGCCGTGGCGAAGGTGCAGCGAGCTGGGTCGACCTTGCGAATTACGACTGGCAGGCTGGCCGTGGACCTGAGTTGATCCACCATCTTGTGAGTTTTATGCGGTCACGAACGCACGGCGAGATGACCTTGGCGGCTACAATAAACGCGCAGTCAGCAGCCTCTGCCCAGCACTCACGACCAACACAATTCAGCTTGTACACCAAAGATCGGTGCCCAGTGAGCCCAATCCTTCGAGTACAGGTGCCCGCGCTGGTAACGCGGGGAACGACAGCCGAACGGCGCTCGAGATCTTCGGCTGTCTGAAGCACCTGCCCTTACGCCACCCCCTGGACGTCGTCTTCGGGGCCTGGATGCGTGCTGCCGCTGGGGCCCCGCAGGGTTCGACTCGGCCAGCGGGCTTTCACGACAAGGCGCGGGTGCAGGACAACGCGGTGAAGCTCGGCAAGTTCTGCCAGGAGGAGCCCCAGGAGTCGGCGCAGGCGAAGATCCGTGAGCCGTCGACGCAGCGCTCCTCCCAACAGTTGAAGGAAGTGGCGGCGGCTGGCCACCAGGCCGCAGCCGCTGGCCAGCGGAGGTGCGAAGCCGCTGCTGGGCGAGGCGGCAGGTTTGAAGGAGAAGGGGGCGGGGAGGCCATCGTGCAGGAGCGCCTCGTGGCCCGTGCCCTGGAGCAGCTGGGGCTCTGCCAGGAGACGGGCACGCGCGAGCTGCTGACCAAGCTCCTGGGTGCCCAGAAGTGCGGCTTCCTCGACGAGGTCGCTGAAGCCCTGAAAGAGGCGGGCGGCCCGGATGCGAGTGAGCTTGCCTGATTTGGGGTATGCAAGCAGCGCCCGTCGCACCGCTTTTGCCCTCCTCCTCTGAAGCGGTTTCGGGCCGTCCCGCCCTCGGCCTCCTGCCAGCGCGGGTCGCGGTCCGACCATCGCGCGGGCAGGTGTCCAGTTTATGCTCTCTTTGACGCGGGCCGTGGTTCGGCTAGCATCCTTCGTTTCGAATGTAGCAGCGGGATGCTGCCTATGCCTGGCGCGGGCCGTGGTGCGGCTAGCGTGCAGGCAGTCTTTTGCAGCGGGATGTTGCCGCAGTGGAGCTTCCTGCGCGGGCCGAGGATCGGCCTAGGCGTGGGCCTCCGCTGACGGTGTCGCCGTAGCGTGGCATCGTCCGCATTCGTGTGAGGGAGTTTTCTTCATTATCTGATCCACCTGATCCACCAAGCGAGCCCGAGCACCATCGGGAGCGCCCCGAATCGGCGGCACTGGTCAAAGGCCAGTACAATAACCGTTCAACTACGTTCTCCGAAACACTTGCGTGCATCGTCGTATCCAATTGTTCGAATCGCGTCCAGCCGTGGCGACGCGATCAAGAGTGGCCCTGGTCATTACCAATAGTGCGACAGCCCCGTTTGTGGCATGAAGCTGTGAAAAGCTTGCAGGGCACCTGTCTTGCCGGTGTCTCTAGTCCAGTTTCTCGGCCTGTCTCTTGTTCATGTCTCTTGTATCTTCAGTCCTACCTCCTGTCTGCTGTCTACTTGGGGCCGCGGAGTCACTGAAACCGACCAGGGGAAGGCTAGGCACAGTAACCGCTCTGGGCTGCTCCAGGATTTCCAGAGGACGCCACAAGACGGCCAGGAAGGCCTAAGAGGCCTTCAGGATGGCCCAATAGGCATCTAGAGCCAAGACGGCCGAATCTGGCTCCAGGAAGCCTCAAAGGCGGCCCAGGAAGGCCCAAGACGCCCCCAAGACAGCAGAATCACGGAAAGACCATAATGCCTCATTGTCCCAAAATCGCCTTAAGACGGCCCTCGCAGCCCCAGAGATTGCTCCAGAAGGCCCCAAGGTGGCCTCAACGGGCAACAGACGCACCAACATTGCCACAGAATTGCCCGAGATGGCCCGAAGCCGACTGGGGAGGCCCAGAGGCCCTTAGATGCCGCCCAGAGGCCCCGAGATGGTCCAACGCTGCCCCGATAGATCCGCGAGGTGACTCAGCCTGGCTGGCGGCAGAGGGCGCAGCCCGTCAGATGACTTCAAAGGACAAGGCTAGGACAACTCGGATTTGTTGTCTGTCGTCAGGCGGCCGTCATCGCCAGTGAGCAGCAGAGGGGGCAACGGCAGGAGGTAGGCCTTCTGAAGAGTAAGGGAACCCGCATAGCGCTGATCGGGGGAAGGAGCGGGCTCCTCTGGGGGGCTCTCGCCGACCCCTTCCGTTGAGGCCCTCCGTCCTAAGGAGCCACATCTCCACAGGAAGCTACTACGGCATATTCGTGTCGTGACGACCGCGGCGATGGCTCCTGACACCGCGTGGATTGTTCCACCTTGCCCGATCGTCGGCTTTTCGATCGCCAGCCCGTTCCATGCTGGCCGATCCTGGGCCACTGGCGGCGTTCAACCTTGAACACCAACGGCGGGGTCGCCGCCGCGTCGACGCGACGCGAAACTGCCAAACACACTGGGCGACGAAGAGGAGGGCGACGGAGGGCGGAATATGGAAAGATTAGGGCAACGTAAGGGGGGACCGGCTCAGGAGGGAAAGATCCACCTGGAGTCAGCGATGCATCGCCAATTGATCGGCGTTAGGCCCCTCGATAGAGACCAACACCAATCCCTGGCCAGGGCCATCCTGGGCCCTAGGATGGTGCACAGACCCTCGTGGATCGAGGTCTGGGGGGCTGCTATGCAAACTCCCAGGGAACGGGACGGCGATGGCCACGGATGGTGGTGCCGTGTGGCGTAGTCGTCGTCATCGTCGTCGCCGTCGCCGTCGGCGTCGGCGTCGGCGTCGGCTGGTCGGCGTCGGCGTCGGCGTCGACGTCGTCTGCCTTTTGTGGACCATGGACGCCTGCTCCCTGTGCCGAGCGCCGAGCGCATCCAGTGCAGCGCATCAGCAGACAGATCGCCGACGTCGCATTACCAATGCTAGACGACAGGGGCAGGGGACGCGGAGCCGCCTCGGCCGTTCTGAAGTCCCTGGCCTTCATGAGGTTCTCGACCTTCTCGAAGGGGTTGTCAGCGCCGTCTGTGCAGCGAGCCACGCGACAGAATAACCAGGAGGGGACGCAGACTCAGCTAGGAATGCTTCAGCGCTGACGCACTCGTAAATGCCATACTTGCTCGCGCGCATCGCAACAAAGATTGCACCGACTTTTCCTGGCCAGATGATCGGCCCCCAACCCCTCCCAATTCGAGTTCTAATCACGACGCGTTTGACCCATGTCCAGCTGTGGAAGGGCTCCCCGCAAGGTCAACGACAAGGACGGAAACAAACGCGATGGCAGGAGGGATGCTCATCTCTCGATGTTCTCGACTCGCATGTTTTCAGGAACATGTCATCGTCCCCGCCCGGCCCTGGAATTAGGCTTGCCCACACTGCTTCCGCGGGGAAATTCGGATGGGTCGGCCCAGAAGAAGGTACCCAGGGAAGGAGAGGTGGAGAAGCAAATCTGACGGCTCAAAGCAGCGATCACAATCCAGCACACGAAGCAATCCAAATTTCGTTCTCCTGCCTTACCTGGGCGGCCCTCTGGCCCTGCAGACTAGAGAGATCTGGCGGCTCACCTGACGATTCCCAAGCGCATATACCGCAAAGCGGTCTTCATGCTCAATCATTACTCTCGGGCCGCAGGCGTCCTGGAGACATGCAAGACCACCCAGGGCCCTTCTCCTCCCTCTCCAGACCTCACCCTGCCGATCCTCCCGGTAGACATTGCCACTGACCCTGTAACAGGGGGCCTCACCAACCCAAACGCCATTTCTCTCTGGCAGCACCCATTAATGCAGGGCGGGCCACTGCCTCTGGAGGAGGCCCTCCATGCGAAACTAGCTCAGCCGCCAGATGGCCCGACCGCGCGCGCGCCCCCCCCCACACATACACACACACACACACACATACACACACACACACACCACACACACACACACACACACATGCGAGCACAACGCACAGATTTTCTGGGGCATAAGAGACGCCGCGGAAACAAATAACAAAAACAACTCCAAGTGGTCAACCTCTTTCCCTCCTCCATGGCACTGTTCTTTGCGGCGCACCTGGAAGCAGGTACGTCGGCATGGATGGAGCGCCCCATCCCTGCCCACTGGGGGCCGCGAGCGGCCTCAAGTTGGGACTGGGCCCGTCCCAGGCCACGCCTGCCTCCGCGGTAGCTGGCGCCGTTGTGTGTTGACCCATGTCAATGTCAGTCCCCCTAGCACCCACTCAACGAGTTCGGTGAAACCCCTACTCGGATAATGCTCCCTGGGCCCCCCTCTTCCCCTCGGTTAGCTATAGAATCCAACGGCGACCTGGGGGGCGCACGAGCGCCCGCCCCAAAGGCCATCACCGCGCCCACACAGGCAAGGACACAGTCAGCGGTGCTTTCTCACAGCGGATGAAAAAAACTCATCCCTCACCCCTCTGCCATAGCCTTGCCTTGGCGACGCATCGGCACCTGCCCCCCCCACCCACCCACGCCCCCTCGCCGAGGACCCACCCGAGGGGTCTCTTTTATCCGCCTCACCTGGAACCCTCTCCCCCCCCCATCGTTTTGTTCTGCCCCCGTGAATGGCGCATTCTGGATCGGCCCAAACTTTGCGCGGCAGGGGGGAGAGAGCCCCAACGCAAGGTAGACCCCGAAGGAGGCAGGTTCACGTCTCGACCTGCCCCCCCAACCCGAGCTCACTCAACAACGACTCCTCCCCGCAGGAAGAACCCGACCTTGATTCTGCAGCCGAGGAAGAAGCTGCCGCGTCTATCCCATGGCCGCCTCTCCAATCGGCCCTCCCTCGCCCTAGGGCAGCTCCGCAGCACCCGCGAGAATCGGGAGCGCGTTCGCCTTGTTCGGCGTCCGCGCCTGGCCTCTCCCCTTCCACTCAAGGGGGCCTGGCTTGCTCGCATCTCTGCGCATCTCTGATCGCCCCGCGGCCGTCTCGGACCCCACCTCTCCACCACTGTGGGGCCCTCCACGGTGGCCCCTTCCAAGTCAGAGCGGGTCGAGCCGCAGCAGGGGCCGCGCGGGGCGCCGCGGCCTCGCCCCCGGGCCACTGCCAAGAGGGCGGACCAGGTTTCTCGCCAGAAAGCCCCCTCCCCCAGCGAGCTCGGGCAGTTCTCGAGCCATCTCCACCAGCAAGGACTTCCCCTGACTTCCTTCGCCCCCGCACGGAATGCACGCATCCCATGTCTATCCCCCGGCCTGCCTCTCCCCCGCGCTCTTCCGCCTCCACCCCGCCGCCCGCTGCCCCGCCCGGCCCCGCGGGGGGGGGGGGGGCCCGGCTCGTCGCGCGCCAAGCGCGTTCCGCCGGCTCGTCTGGCCCAGCAGCCCCCGGGAGCCCCGCGCTCGATGCCCCCCCAATCTCCTTTTCTGAAGGGGCACCAGGACACACAAATAAATACACACAAATAAAAAGATTCCCCATATTTTCCCATATTTTCTGGGTTTCTGTCTTCCCCCCCACTTCCCATATTTTCCCATATTTTCTGGACAATCGAGGATTAATTGTGTCTGTGTGTTTTTTCCTCTCCTGATTTTCACCCTCCACATCCACGTCTACCCGCGGCCCCACCTGCTGCCGGGGCAAAGCGCGCCCGGGTCAACGCGCAGACACCCGCCCAGGGATGCGCGACGAAGCCTCTCCTTGGGATCGGGCGCGCCTCCAGCACCTCCCAAGCGATGCCCCCGTCGCCGTCAATTTCTCCAACTGGGAAGGCACCCGAGGAGGATGCCCATCCGCGATCTTTCTTTGGGCGCATCTCACCGTCGCCAGCAGGGCAGGCGGCAGCCAAGCCAATTGATGAGGCTGAGAAGCCTTCCTGGGACGACGCGGAGAAGCCCTCTCGCACAGACAAGTTGCGCAGCGAGGCAGCAGCCCGCATGCCCCGCAAGTCTACAGCGGCCTCTGAGGGAGGAGAATTTCCACCCCACTCAGCCCGCCACCGCCCGGCAGGCGCAGCGGCCACCATCGGGCCACAGCACGATCTGAGGCCCATCGGGAAGGGGCGTTTCTCCATCCAGCGGCAGGGCCGCGAACAGGAGCAGCATGGGCGGGCACTCGTCCTCCAAGCGGCAGAGCAGCCCCAGCTGCCCCTCCACATCCCCTGCGCAGCATCGCGCCCGCAAGAATATACGATTTGCCGCCCCCTTGACCCCTGCACCCCGGCATGTCATAGCCACTTCTGCCCGAGCCGTGGCGACTGAGCTGCAGGCCTCGCCTGATACCTTCGGCCCGATGAGCCGCGGACCCTCCCGATCGTTGCTTTCCCTCTCCTCAGCCTCGGCCCACATGTGGTTCCGAAGGAGGAACTCCAGCGCAATGCTGGCGCTACCACCACGGCACGCGCACTTACGCCAAGTGGCCCCCGAACAGCTACGCCCCCACCTGGCGGCTGGCGGACGGCCCGGACCACGCCTGCATTTGGGCGCAGACACCAGCCTCTCCACGCAACAAAAACTGGATCTGGGAATGGCTCCAATTCCAAGGCCGCTTCCCCCCGTCGGCAAAAGTGGCCGCTGCGTCCTCTGAGAAGAGTAGCCCGCCCGAGCTTACAAAGGAACCCGCGGAGGAGGACTTGCCAGCGGCGGAAACTAAAGTCGAACCTACCACCAAGCGTTCTAGGTTTTCCAGCGGCTAAGGCCGGCCGCGACGCATAGAGAAAAGGTTAGCTTGGTGACTAAGCTAAAGAGTACTAATTCGCCGGCCCAACGGGCCAGAGGCGTGCTAAGATCTCCGGTAACTGCTCAACTATATTTCTAGTTCGCGCGCGCGGGGCGGGCCCTAGGGGTCCCTGGACGAAAAGTACCCCTGCAAGGTCCCGGCAAGGTCCCGGCAAGGTCCCGGCAAGGTCCCGGCAGACTCCCGGCAAGGTCCCGGCAGACTCCCGGCAGACTCCCGGCAAGGTCCCTTTTCGGAGCCCAGGAGGGCTCCAAACGGTCCCAGAGAGGCCCGAGAAGCCCTCCAGACGGTCCAAGAGAGCCGGGAGACGCCGAAATATCACTCCCAAACGCCTGCGATGGCCTCAAGACGGCCCAACAGGCCTTCAAGACGCCCCAAGAGGTCCCTAAGCGGCGCCCCAAGAGGGCTCCCACAAGCAAAAATCGTCTCATTCCCTAGGAAAGCGTGCATGTTTAACATATCCGCCTCTTCGTCTTTCACACCTTTCAAGGCGGTCCAAGAGGCCCCCAAGATCACCCCAAGACGGCCCGAGAGACCCTCAAGACCGCTCAAAGACGGCCCAAGAGCGCTCCAAGAAGGCCCAAGAAACCCTCAAGAACTCTTTTTCGGAGCCCAGGAGGGCTCCAAATCGGTCCAAGAGGGGCCCGAGAAGCCCTCCAGACGGTCCAAGAGAGCCGGGAGACGCCGAAATATCACTCCCAAACGCCTACGATGGCCTCAAGACGGCCCAACAGGCCTTCAAGACGCCCCAAGAGGTCCCTAAGAGGTCCCTAAGCGGCGTCCCAAGAGGGCTCCCACTAGCAAAAATCGTCCCATTCCCTTGGGAAAACGTGCATTTTTAACATATCCGCCTCTTCGTCTTTCACACCTTTCAAGGCGGTCCAAGAGGCCCCCAAGATCACCCCAAGACGGCCCGAGAGACCCTCAAGACCGCTCAAAGACGGCCCAAGAGCGCTCCAAGAAGGCCCAAGAAACCCTCAAGAACTCTTTTTCGGAGCCCAGGAGGGCTCCAAATCGGTCCAAGAGGGGCCCGAGAAGCCCTCCAGACGGTCCAAGAGAGCCGGGAGACGCCGAAATATCACTCCCAAACGCCTGCGATGGCCTCAAGACGGCCCAACAGGCCTTCAAGACGCCCCAAGAGGTCCCTAAGCGGCGCCCCAAGAGGGCTCCCACAAGCAAAAATCGTCCCATTCCCTTAGGAAAACGTGCATTTTTAACATATCCGCCTCTTCGTCTTTCACACCTTTCAAGGCGGTCCAAGAGGCCCCCAAGATCACCCCAAGACGGCCCGAGAGACCCTCAAGACCGCTCAAAGACGGCCCAAGAGCGCTCCAAGAAGGCCCAAGAAACCCTCAA